AGTCACAAACCTACTTCTTTGTCTCAACTTTCCGCCATATTTGAATAGAAGCCAAGGGATTGGTATCAGAGGAAGTGAGAGGAACGCAAATACGCTGCCAGCCCAGTGCACGCCAAGCTTCTCATACATCTGGAGGGTGAACAAGGGGAAGACAGCACCCAGAATGTATCGAAGGATACCATTTGCGGCCAGGGCTGAGGATGATGTTAGAATCACTTCCAACGAAATGAAAAGCTTCCAGAAAGAGGTACATCCACTTACCAGATGCCGCGGCCTTTTGGCCATAAAAGTCGACCATGTAGGTGATGACAGACAACTTGAATGAGTTAGTTACGCCCTCCGCTTCGGATCGGAAGCCTTATTACTCACGAATAGACAAAAGGCGCCGAGCCCGAATGGGATACCAGCCGCGACCAAGGCGGCCCAGTGACCCCCACGATGAGCTTCCCATGCATACCAGAATAATCCAGCAGGAAGAGCAACACTACCCACGAGCGCCGCATACAGTCGCTGCTCGGGAAAACCTTTGCCGGCTTGCACAGCAGGTATTCTGAACTTGGCATCGAGGAAAGCAAAAACAAAGGTTGCCAGGAAATAGCCAATGATGATGCTAAGGAAGCTCAATCCAACTTCTCTCAAATTGAAACCGTAGTACTTCTGGAGCACGTAGGAGCAGCTGCCGAAATAGCTGAAGATCATGGCATAGGCAAAAGCTGTGTAGATGGCCAGCGAGGAGACAATGACCTCAGTGAGGAGCATCTTTGTCGGTCTCATAACGGCGACTCGAATAATGCTGCCGAGTCGCGCGAAAGTGATGGGCTCTTCCCCTGACTCTTTGCGCAGGATCCAGGCTTTTGATGTCTCCTTCATCAATATAGCCCCGACCCAGATGGGAGCACCAACCATGAGGAGAACATATTGCGTCCATCTCCAGTCGTTGCCTCTGTCGTGTATGATATAAGCTCCAGCCAAAGGCCCCAAAGTCGGTCCCAGAAACGGGCCAAGGATGTACAACAGTGATGCGCCAGCTCCCTTGCCGAGTTCCCAAACATCGGCAATGGTTCCTGCGCCGACAGCGATGCCGGCAGAGCCCAGCGTTCCAGCTATGAAGCGGCAGGCGAGAAGTCCAGAGAATGTTGTCACCGCCGACGCACCTCCAAGGAATGCGAGGAGGAAAGTGCAGGATCCGGCGTAAATCCACTTGCGACCGATTACTTCAGAGAACGGGGCGATGAAGAGGGGACCGATGGCGAGACCGAGTGTATAGAGCGTCAGAGGGAGGATGGATTTCGTGCGTGAGACGGAGAACTCGTCCATTATTAGGCTGGTCGCGGGGACTGTAATTGAGGTTGCGAACGTGCTGCAAGATTTCCCATGTCAGATTAGAATATATCGAAGGCATTTTTAGGGAAGAAACCGACATTTCGAACGCCAAGAAGCATGGGATCGCAGTGTGAAAGAGCCTCGAAAGAAAACTCCAGTTCTTGGGGTTTCTCGACTCACGAGGGTCGTCCCATGCGAGTTGCTGTTGACCACCATTCTCGGAAGAAGTGCTGTCCTCACCTGCCCTTTTCTCAACATCTTCTTCTGGTCGGTCCATTACTGGAGGTTTGATGGAAGATTCTTGGCTTGTTGTGCTCATTTCGGCAGCAATAATCATGCATTAGAGACACTGCCGCTGATTCTTGTGATGAGGGGATGCTTGGGTAATCCAAAAACCCAGTGCCACGGCCCTGGGATAGGGAGATCTATATACCAGGCAGACTCTGGCGAAGATCTGTTGAGTTGATAGGAGTATCGGCGTCTAGCGTTGCTGAAATCCGTGTCATTGGTTATTGCCTTTCCGGAATTCGGGTGGCAGGTGGACTTGGCCAATTGTTCACGCCGAAACCTTGAAGCTTAAGAGAGCGGATGACCTTGTCTTGTCTCTGATTCATATTTCTTCACCAGAGGGTCTGTAAGCATTACCTTACTGCTGGCCTTCAGACCCTCGGCCTATGGGTATTTTGGTTGGTAAGGTGATTACTGATCTCTGATGAACTGGAATCTACCGGTGGGATAAGGCTATGAGATGAACCATGGTATTAAGCTATGGCCTAATCGTTGGCTCAACCCTTCACCCAAAACTCAAGATGTGCAGTTTTATATCGTGGGATCTTAGAATTGGTTATCCCTCACCAAATTTTCCATGACTATCAGATGTTGTGAAACCCCGACCATCGTCGTCTGCACAGTATTATCTTACATCGCAAATGCGGCACACTGTTGTTGATTAGTAAACTGGTCCTCGGCTGGCGCAGTCGCGCTAGTGTCCCAGGAATTTGCCAATGAATCAATGCGAACAAAACCCCTGTGAGCGCTGAGAAGCCAGAATTATGTCTTGAACGCATGAGTAGCGTGGGAGATCTACGGTCTGGTTGGTCCAGTCTTAGCAGCTGAATGAGATCAGAGCCAACATCGATGTCGTTTTACTAGCGCGGCTAGGACTCAAACTCGGAGCAAATTACATAATTCGAAGACCCCTAGAGCTTGGGACGCGCGGTACTTACATAGGTACAAATTCATTCTGCTCACCGGCGTACACTTCCCACCTACCTCGCCATGCTCAACAACTGGGGCCAAGCATTCTGCATCATCTTTATCACTTACAGTTAGCTCCCTTCGAATATTTGAATGCGCAATCGATTCTTTGTAAGCACGGTCGCCGTAGGTATTGAGTTGCTCGATACCTTCTGGCTCTTGCAAGGCGATCAAAGAGAATCCGGGTAGCTCAGCTAGGCTATATCCCAGGTTTCAGAGCAACCAAGAAGGCTAAGACTGGGGTCCGCGGGAAGTAAAGTTTCTCGGTTCCTCTTTAGTGCATTGTACTCTGCTATCTTAATGGAACCCTTACGTCGCAATGGCATCCTTGACTCTCAGTGGTGCAACAGCCCTCGGGAGGCCAGGGTCTCGTCGAGGCTGCAGACGAGACTGGATTTGATCCGCAAACTCAGCTTCCAAACAACTGATCATTTGCTCGATATCATAGTCCCAGATCTTGTGCGATCTTTCCTCGAGGTCTTTGAGACATTTGTCCCAGTCACGCATAGTGTCCGGGTGGTTCCACTCGTAAATCTCGCAGGCTTCGCGGCTGCTCTTCACCAGCCACTTTCCACGAGGTGGTCGAACAGTATCGTAAGCCCGGAACATGGCCTCCAGTAAGTCATACTTGTCGTGTTGTGTAGGTCTGGATAGGCCTTGCAATATCTTCGTGCCATTGTCAAGGAGTGTGGCCAAAGCTAGCGCATCCTCGACGCCCATACCTGCGCCGGCTCCGTGATGAGGAGTGGAGGCGTGAGCAGCATCGCCTGCAAGACAAAGCCTCCCTTTGACGTACGTTGGAGCAGGGTAGTCGTAAGTATCGAAGATGGCCCATTTGGTAATTTCATCTGGCAGCAAGTCAATGAGACTCTTGACTGTAGGACCCCAGTCCTGGAATACATCAGCGACCTCCTTCCTTGTCGTCTGACTTGTCATGTTAGCAACTCCATCGCCCCTCTTATCCCAATCAGTAGTATCATCGGCAAAGGCCACAAAGTTAAGAATCGTACCACCTGCCACCGCGAAATGCAGGACATGTGCTCGTGGGCCGGTGTGGCAATGCTCGTTGTAGGCTTTGAAGCTTCCGATGGCGGCTACTGCGCGGTCCATGGGTATCAAGGCCCTATAGGCAACTTTGTGGCTGGAGTGAGGGTACGCGGCGGGGGTATCTGGTCCGAGAACCAGCTGTCGGACCTTGGATTTGATGCCGTCGCATCCAATAACTTGTAAGCATCAGCAACAAGGACAGTAATAATGCCATTGGGAGTCGACATTTGCCATGATGGAATCTGTGTTATGTGACTCTTACCTGCATCGGCGCTGGATGTGGTGCCGTCCTGAAAATGCAGAAGCACCTTTCCCCCTATATCTTCATCTGTCACATTTACCAGTTTCTTACGGAATGCGACCGCATCGTCTGGGATGGCCTTGACAAGCTCGTCTAAGAGATGAGCCCGATGACAGCCAATGAATCCCTCATGCCCAGTGTCGAGGTTATACAGAGGCATATCTTCTTCGCCAGGGCGATTCTCATCCCAGGTATATCCATCGTTGAAACGGAGGCACTCTTCGGGCTCGTCTTCGTTCTCACCGTTGTGTGTGGCTACGGCGTTGACGGCCTCCTCGATGAATGGATTTAGTAGGGCCATGCACTTTCTGGCATTGGCAGTGAAGCCAATTCCGGCACCGATCTCGCGGAAGGAGCGGGACTGTTCGTATATCTTGACAGGAATATTCCGCTTTAGTAAGCCTAGCGCTGTGATGAGACCTACAATTCCACCACCGACGATGGCAATCTCGAAATTCTCGTTGTAATCGGACATGATTGAAGGAGGGCTCTTTTGAACTATTTGTGAAGGAAGTCTGCAGTCGGTTGAATATGGAACGGGGTAGTTATCCTTAGATCAGTTATACCTCAATCTCTGTTCCGCAAGAAGTACCTTGCCGTCGATGGCGCTTACTCATTTGGCTGCACATGTAATATCAACGTTAAACTGATATTAGGTGCACGTCCTGAAACACCGGAGTTCGCGGTCTTCCTGTCCGGCGGATGATGATCTCATCCGAATAGTGTTCAGAGCATTGACGGCCTCGCCGACGGACTTCGGCTCTCGCCCCATTACCCTTTGGCAAATCACCTTTTCTCGGTGAAAACGAAGATAGGGTCGATGTACGCCGGGAACATTCTAGAGACAACGCGAGTATCTCATGTAGGTTTCTCAAGACAGCCGGTGCTTGTAGCTTGTAAGTAATGATTTTAAGCACTGACAAATTCATTAATTATGTAGGGGAAGAACCTTTGAAACTCAAGTGAGATACAGCTGAAGCAAGCGGCTGAATATTACTTTCATATTGATTTTACACACGCTCAGAATAGACCAACATTTCCATCGACCACTGGTGAACGATCCAGGGGATGTTCAGTCCCCCATACTCGGTTCCTCAATCAACAGGTCCATGAGAGAGTCAGGCGTCGCCAAGGCATCCTCATATCCAAACCGAGGCGGCTCTGGCTTCGGGATACCTTGGCAAAACCCATTTGCAGCTTTCAACTCCCCCAAAGCTTCATCCATCGTCTTAATCTCATCTTCTAACGCCATGCCACGTTCCTGAAACCTGACCAGAGCTTCCCGACATGAATGAAATGGCGCTGGCGTAAATGGGTGGATCTGGCAAATGTTGAAATCGGATAATAAAATACTCGATAAGCGTGCAATCTCTCTAGCTGCTGCTACAGCTCTTTCCTCACAGCCATCGACGAGATGATGGTACTCTGCAGTAGTATCCGGCATGGTTGCGGCCACCTCCAGAAGTGATAGTGACGCTACTTGGGCTACTACCCTAGTAAGTAATGTCATAGATCCTGCGCGATGAGATACGGGGAGGCCCTGCAGACGGAAAATCTGCCGCATGAGGACGGAGTCCACAAACATGTGGCGCTCCGAAAATTGGGCAGGCGACCTCCCACTTTCATGTCCAATTCTCGATCGATTCTTGTGGACTTGAATCTGCTCGGACATTGAGATGGATAGAATGAATTCCAAGAACGGATGTTGCTTTGCTGCTGTCTGTAGCTCCATAGCTTCTGAGAGAAACAGAGAGATGGTGGGCGTGCGGCTTTGAAATGCGTCTTCAGAGCAAGGAAGCCGAGTATATATCTAGATACATCCTATCATTAGTACAAGAATTCATAATGTATCTGCAGTGATACTTAAGAAAAAATTGGCGCATAATGCTGATGAACAGGAGTTGAGTGCGTACCTCAGATTCAGTGAACGTCCGGGGCAGATCATGCGCCAAGCAAATAACAGTATCTAGACAAAATACCATCCAGAACGTCCTTCTCTTCTCCTCTTTCTCGACAAAGTAATCTGGGTCCTCGGCTGATCCGGAGGCTTTGGAGCAACTTGAATCGATATTGCTCAGGCGCAGGAGCTGTATCAGGCGTATCGCTCGCCCCGTACTCACCCATGCGCGGTGGAAACCGACTGCCATCAGCTCATACATCGAGATGAGAATCCACGCCTGGGTCTGCTTTAATAAAACCTCCTCTTTATTCATTGGACTGCCAGGAGAGTCAAGATTCCCGAGGCAGTCGAGGGCTTCACGATACATGGTGTCGCACAAATGTTGAAACTGCGACGAGAGTGAAGACGCCATCGCCCACATTGCGTACTGTAGACATGTATGTGAAAGTTTGGATTCGTCCGAAGTAGAGCGGCTGTTCATTGTTGGTCTCTTTTCCAAATGCTTTGATATGCGAACGTACGAGGATTGGTGTAAGAACGGTGTAAATGAGTGAACTCTGTCGAAGTAGAGCTGGTCACTACATCCAATGTTCAGCGATAAGATACACAGGCATCAACATGGAGTCTCGACGTATGCCCCGGGACAGTTACTCACAGATCAGCTCTCATTAAGGGCCCAATATCCCGAAAGGTGTCAAGCGCCTGAGCCGGCAACGTCGGAAGCACGCCCGTGTAGTTGAAGGCATCGTTGGCGATGATAGGCAGTGGGGTGGAATCTACAGGAGTGGATGTCTGAGTTGGGACATCTGATCGTGCCGGGTAGGTCAAGTCCGCGTCAGATAAAGAAGTGAAGTAGTCCGTAGCAACAGACAAGGTCTCTCGATGACTATCAAGACTGGAGCCATGAAGGTCCGAGCTTGCTGAAGATTCGCAACTCCGCCTCAGGGCTTTATTGACCTCGATTGAATCGCTCCTACTACTTCTCGCAAGGCGCCGTTCAAGAGTGGCTGCATTCACTCATATTGTCAGTATCTGTAGTACGAATCCTAAATGTCTCACTCCAAGGCATTGCTCTTTACAGTGAAAATGTTGCTGACTGACCAATCCTTGATTGAAGCGTCTTAATATGATCTTTCTTGGACGTTTGAGGTGGGGCAGCCGAGGCACTTCGACAACGTGAACCTGTACGAACACACCCGCTGCAAGGCCGTTTTCGATCACATCTAAGCTTGCCCTTTTGGCACTGCCGGCAGGTTAAATCAGGGCTGCGGCGGATATCATGGCTCGTTGCCGGGCTCCTGCGTGTTTCGGTCTCCTCCGTTATCGATGATGCCGCGGACCGGGGCGGTGTTGGGCCATTCGGCCCATTCTTCGGGTGCGACTGGCATAATACGCCACGTTCGAAGCAAGGGAGACAGAAGTTGCTCCCGTCCATTGATGTTGTGAGCGGTGTGGTTGGAGAGTTGCCGATTATGATGCACTCAATGCTGCGTCTGTTTGACAATGAATTCGTTCAACTTGCGCCAACCAGAACTTTGAATGCTCGTTAATGAAAACACCTGCTTGGAGACACCAAGACACGGTTATGTATGCTACATAGCTGCCAGCTTCCTCAGCGTTTGCCACTTTAGCGGCGTGGTCTGAGTTCAGATAAGCAAAGATGCATCTCAATCAACATGGATAAAGTGTGACAGGACGATCCTGGTCTTTGATGAAAACCACATGAAATCTACCCAAAAGTGCCATTGCGAATTTGTGGTGATGCTAAGGAAAAGGAAATCAACCCCTGGAGGTTCCCATCACCGACGCTAGTCGCCTGGTAAAGAGCAAACTTTGCTGCTTGTTTGTTACCAAGGGTGTTTGCCCCTTTCCTCGGAATACTGATCCGTTGTGCCGCCCGCTTCATATTCCTTTTGCAGACCCCGCTTTTCCTTTTCTTTTGGCCGTTGTGTTTGCTTGTTTGCTCCCTCGGCTGATAGTTTGCCTATTAGTGCCTGACGGTTCATGTATGAGAGATTTTGCACAATTACCGGGATGCCGGGGTCGTTCCCTTGTCAGTCATCTTGCTGACCGGGCCCGGCCTTGCGATTCCCGGATCGGTGGAGTTCGCGACCTTCCGGGGTTGGAAGATGGCAAACCCGATCCCCTCCATGGTAGCTGATAGGGCATGAATAATGTGGATCGAGATCTTCGTAAGCGATGGCAGTTACGTGCCTGCCTTGGTCTTCGATGCGCCAGAAAGTGAGTTCTCAATTATATAGTATCGAAAGTACAGGCCAACCTCAAAATCTTACACGTGCACGCCGCTTATTCTCCGTCTACTGACTGGGGACTGCAAGTGCCTCGTCAATCGTCTTCCAAGTGTGATCTTTGACCTTTTTCAAATCCTCCTCAGTGAAAATAGCCTTGTTGCCGACAACCTTACCATTTTGATCGATACAACTCCAAGATGCGCCGTCCTTCCCCGAGGCCCCGTCCACTCCCTCCAGAAGTCTCTCGGCGCAGGTATCGGCCGGTACGCCCATCACATTGGTCAGGAGTTTTGTCGCAGTCCGAAGATACCACGGCATGGTATGGAAGAGATTGGTCTGTACGATGCCAGGGTACGCGTGGATGAAGTGTTGCCTCTTGTCCTTGTTCTCGGCCGCATAGGCCTGGATCATGGCGTCCGTCATGGAAAGGCAGTGGTCCGCTGCTTTTTGCAAGCTGAAGTTCTTCTTCAGGTCCAAGTCGTCCCAAATCAGCTTCGTCGGGCTTCCGCGGGTGCTGTCAAGGACGATGAGGACTTTAGCATCGTCCTTTAGGATGGAGCTCAGCTCGCGGATGAGAAGCTGCCTGCCGTAGTAGTGAAGGGCCATCTTGCGGTCGATTCCCTCGGACGTCTCGGTTCTACCTGCCATGGTGAGAATGCCTTGGGTGAGGACGAGCAAGTCGAGTTGTGGGTCTTGGAGGGACTTGTAGTCGTCCGTGTATCGCTTGATGGAGCGCATGGAAGATGCGTCCAAGGCGCGGAACTTGATGTTGGGGTGAGGGATGTCCTTGGGTTCGGTGCGGCCACTGATAGTCACTTGTGAGGATGCCGAAGCTGCGGCGAGGCGGCAGGCAATGGCGTAGCCAATGCCACCCGTACCTCCTACGACTAATGATCGTGTAGCCATGACTTGCTATGAGAGTTGGATGAGATAGATAGTGGGATGTGAGGATGTCGTTGGGGATTTCAAGCTCCTTATCAAACTTGGAAGCTGAGCTTGGCTCGGTGTGTGGTTAGGCCGATTCCGAAAACAATTCAAAGCTCCCCTAAGTCCGCATTTCCGCGTCATCTGATTGGCTCAATCTATCTGGCATCTTCCATTTCATGCAAAGGAAGCTTTCTAAGTCCGCAAAATCCGCCCACAACTTGTGCTTTGCAGCGAGTATGGTTTGGTATGACATTGCTTTGAAGCTCTTGGCTGGGAACATATGACAGTTAAGATAGATCCTCAAGGTCACTCCGACTTTCCGTTTAGTGTCCTTCCTTGTGGAACCTCCATTGCTTACGCCCCTACCTCTTGTCTTCTTGCGGCTTGTCGCCTCTTTCGGGTTTTGGTGGTACCGACATGGGGAACATAGGCTTATGCCGGGGATGAGATGACGACGGAACGGATGGAAAGGGGATGGAAAGTGCCCTCGAGCGCGGGCTCCGCAGCTTCCACTTCGCCGTATTTCGGAAAATCCTACGCCCATTTCCCGGGCATGTTATTTATAGCCTCGATTATATCCAGACTCCACGTGACCCTTACAGACCTTACGTAAGTACCAAGGATGAGCCGAAGTGCCGGACTGGGGATCTTCCCTTGAACCAAGTCGGCCACCTTACTGCATCAGTGCATAGCAGGACCCCAAGAGCTCCGATTCCCCTGCTCGCGGCTCTGCGGCAACGTTAACTCTGGGCGAGCGGGGCCGCTGACGCGTTACTGGTCTTCTGGCGGTTCAGCGCCAGCCAAAGAGAGACATCGCGGGACGCATGGGCTGCCGATGTTCCAGGTGAGAGAAGTCTCTGCCTGGGAAGCCTGGCACGCCTGGCCTGGTGTTTCCTGGCAGGGCGAATCTTCCAAAGTGGTTGAGTTTTGAAAGGGATTGAAATCTGGAGCCAGAGCCACACTTCCCCCGTCTATTTCGCATCCCCGGGCCCTGGCCGCATGTTCCGTGGTCCGTCATACGGATACTCTTGTTCCCTTCAGGGCTGAAGTTTCGATCTCCTGCAAATCTGTTCCCCTTTTTCCCAATTTCCTCTCCTTGTCGTCCGAGTCTTGACCTACGCCCAACGGTTGTCATTGTCACACGTCACACGTCATACACACTACCACAGTGACCGCACCACACACAAAGGTTGACGACTGGACAAAAGCGGTGTTCACTGGTCGGTCGTCTGGGATGTCATTCTCGGCCCTACCACACTACTTCAGCCCTTCGGACGGATCTGTGGGATCCAACGTGCTGGGTCACACCTAAACTGGGTCTTTACTCCGAATCTTTTGCCCATCCCACCGCTCCTCATTCCATTCTCCTTGGCGAACTACGGAGGGGCCCCCTCTGGTTCATCAACTTCGGTTCTTCGATTTATTCCATTTGTTAAAATTGTCCCGCCCCAGCCCGTGGAGCACTGGAGACGATTCTTCACGTCGGCGGTGCCGAGTTTCCATTCTTGACCCTTCTACCCTACATAATCACGCCTTCTCCCCCTCGCGCTGCGCGAGGTCTTGTAGAGGGACGATGGGCATAATGGAGAAACTAGGGGTGACAGACCCCTTGGGAAAGCTTCCCCACAAGCCGCAGTCTTACAACGACAAATATGTCGTCGTCTACGACTTCAGTGAAGTCGGTACGTCAATTTCTCATTCGTCTTTCTATCATGATCGGGAACTATCGTTGGAATGGGGCTGGCCGACTGACTGTGCCCCAGATTCTGAGACCTCCGTCAAGGAGCTCACTACACTCCTTAACGAACTCGAGTCTGCTGGTCTCCAGACGGAAGTGAGGGCCGGCTATGATCAGACCCTTCTTATCTTCGTGAAGGCTCCTCGGGAGCTTCTAGGAAACACCGTCTACAAGTCGAGGTCAGTTGGACCAACCATCGTCACGGTCAGCTGAAGCCCTTGGCTGACATTTCCACCAGAGTAAAGGACTGGCTCTATGGCATCGTCCCCGAACATCCCGGCGGCACCAAGACCACCGTCGTCGACGGCGCCTTTGAGGCAGAGGACATTCTTTCAGTCTACCACCTCGTCAACTGGCCCAAGTCTCTCGGTGGCGCTGGAATCACGCCCGAGACGGGCCAGTGGAAGAATGTCAAGGCCATTTTCCCTCTGCACAATGAGGAGACGAACCAGTCCCTCATGAAGCATCTCAGCAAGCGGCTGTTCCTGACGCCCGACGATATCGATTCCATTCGCGACCTCTGGGGAACCAAGGTGAGTCCCGCCAACCTGCGTTCTCTGCCCATGCCGTCTAACAGAACATTCGCATAGGTCGCTTTTTACTTTGCCTTCATCCAGACCTATCTTCTCTTCCTCACCTTCCCCGCAATCACCGGTGTCATTGCCTGGATGTACTTCTCAAAGTACTCCCTCACCTACGCTATTGCGACATGTGTCTGGTGTACCGTCTTCCTGGAATACTGGAAGATCCAGGAAGTTGATCTCAGTATCCGGTGGAACGTGCAGGGAATCGGCAAGGTCAAAGTCAACAGGCCGCAGTTCAAGTACGACAAGATTATCAAGGACGAGGCTGGCCAGGAGAAGCATTATTTCCCCAAGTGGAAGACGGTCTCCCGCCAACTGCTCCAAATCCCCTTTGTCTTGCTTTCCGCTCTGGCGCTGGGTGCCATCATCGTCCTTGTGTTTGCCATCGAGGTGCTTATTTCAGAAGGCTACGACGGCCCCTACAAGAACTTGATTGTAAGTTCTCTTTAGCATGCGTTGGTGCTTCAACGGGGTGCTAACCATAAGCAGGAATACGTTCCGACCTGTTTGCTCGCTATCGCGTTGCCCTACATCAGCAGCGGCCTCGAAGAAGTCGCCACGATGCTCACAAACTACGAAAACCACCGAACGGCCGATTACCACGAAATGTCTCTGACGCAAAAGATCTTCGTCCTCAACATCATCACAAACTACCTACCGATTCTCATCACGGCCTTCATTTACGTTCCCTTTGGCGACACCTTTGTCCCCTGGCTCGAGGGCATGACGAAGGGATTCCTCGGCGCCATTGGCCAAAAGTACATGGACGACGACCTTAGCTTCCACGTTGACGCAGACAGACTTCGTGACGAGGTCATCGCGCTCGTCGTCACAGGACAGATTTCCGGATTCTTCGACGAGAACATCATGCCGGTCCTCAAGCACAAGGCGCAAGGGATCTACCGCGAGTACAAGCGCTCGCACTCAAAGGACACGATGCTCATGTCCATCGTCAAGGATGCCCCCGAGGAAGCTAGATTCCTCCGCAGCGCACGCAACCAGGCCACCCTGGAAAAGTACAACGTCCAGGACGACATTGCCGAGATCGTCCTCCAGTTCGGCTACCTCGCCCTCTTCTCCCCCGTATGGCCCCTCATCCCCATCGGGTTTCTCATCAACAACATCGTCGAGCTACGCACCGACTTCCTCAAGATCTGCATGGAACATCGCCGCCCGCCCCCGGTGCGCACCGATGGCATCGGCCCGTGGATCAACTCTCTCGACTTCCTCACCTGGGCCGGCAGTCTCTCGACCGGCGCCATCGTGCACCTGTTCGGCGCAAACAGCATCGGCGGTGGAGCGTGGTGGGCGCTCCCCATCACCATCTTCATCAGCGAGCACGTGTTCCTCGGCTTGCGCTCGGTCGTCCGCTTCTGTCTAGAGAGCATCGGGTCGGAGCAAATTCGCAAGCAGAGGCACCAGCGGTACGCGACGCGTGTGAAGCACCTCGAAGAGATGGAGGCCAACAAGCAGGCTGGGCTTATGCTCTCAGTCGCCGAGCGCGAGCGTCGCAAGTCAATCCGGGCGATGGGGCAGGAGTCCTTCTGGACGACACAGATTGACGACGGCGCGAGTGCCGCTGTGGGTATTGGTTTGATCCAATCGGTCAAGAGGGCTGAAGTGTTGAAAGCCGGGCAACCGAAGATTGACTAGTAGGATGTCTGTTCACTATACTGGCCAGATCATCTACACAAAATCGGCGTCTTGTTTGATTAGAGGGGTAAAATTTAGAGCATGAACACCATGCCAATAGAATGCCATACAACATCAGTCCGTCCGCCTGCTCCCCGAGTTGGTGACTGAAGCTAAGTGAAGAGCTAAGTGGAGATTGGACGAAGGGGTACAGTGACATGTCTTTGACATCACATCACAGCACTGACATCATCGGATCGCATCCGCGCCATCAACAAACACAGCATCAACTTCAACCTGACTTTCGAGCATCGATCACAAGACTGACAAACAGGTCCTTTTGAGACGATATCGACGGATAATTCGAGTCGTAACCACCAAGGCTCAGGACAGATCACTGCGACTCATCCAAAATGTCCAAAATCACATCCCCCTTCAACAACCCAATCTCCTTCGCTTCTTGCTCCATCGGCCTCCCTCGACACACCCTCGAAGATAAACTGGCAGCACTCTCCGCCGCCGGCTTCAACGGCATCGAACTCTCCTTCCCGGATCTCCGAACCTACGCCACTCAACACCTCAACAAGGGCGAAATCGCAGCCGACGACTACCCCTCCCTCTGCGAAGCCGGCAAGCTCATCCGCAACCTATGCACACAGCTCAATCTCCAAATTATGGTTCTACAGCCCTTTGCAAACTTTGAAGGGTGGCCAAAGGGCAGCAAGCAGCGAGAAGAAGCATTTGAGCGCGCCAGGGGGTGGATGGAGATTATGAGCGCCGTAGGGACGAACATGCTCCAGGTTGGGTCGTCGGATTCGCCGGATATCACGTCGTCGATCGGAGACCTTGTCGCCGATCTCGCAGAGTTGGCGGATCTTCTTGCGACGAGGGGGTTCAAGATCGCGTATGAGAATTGGTGCTGGGCCACGCACATGCCGTCGTGGAAGGATGTGTGGAAGATTGTGCAGCTTGCTAATCGGCCTAACTTGGGGCTCTGCTTGGATACTTTTCAGTCTGCTGGTGGAGAATGGGGAGATCCGACGACGGAATCGGGACGCATTGAGACTGGTGGTGTGAGCGAGCAAGATCTCAAGATGTCGTATGAGATCTCTCTTCAGGAACTTGCAAAGACGGTTCCGCCGGAGAAGATCTATTTTCTCCAGATCAGCGACGCGTACAAGGTCTCACCGCCGTTGAGCAAAGAGCCGGATGAGAGTGGGTTGAGACCCCGGGGGCGCTGGAGCCATGATCATAGACCGCTGCCGTTCGACGGTGGGTATCTGCCCATCTTGCAGTTTTTGGAGGCTGTCATGAGCACCGGCTTCAGAGGGTGGTTGTCAGTCGAAGTGTTTGATGGGAAATTTGAGGAGAAGTACGGGGATGACCTGTCGGGATACGCCAAGAAGGGGAGGGACGGGGTTGTCAAGATGCTTGGCGAGATGATTGTCGATAGGAGTGGCCTCTGATTCTATGAATAGCGCGATGATGCTACAGCAATACACGAGCGAAGCCACTCGAGCCGCTCAACCTTTCAAATCGAGACTCACACCTCCCCATTCTTCCTCTCCTCGAGCTCATCAAACCTCACAGGCGTCTCATCCTCTGTCCACGGTACCACCTTCAATTCCTTCCAAATCCCCATCCACCTCCTCGCCTTCTTCTCATACACCTCCCGCACACCAACTGTGGGATTCGGCCTTACAATCATCGAAAAGAACTCAGACAACCCCTTCGGCGCATACACCCTCCACGCCCCATCCGCCTCCACCCGGACCCCAATCATCGCGCTCGTCGTGATCCACGTATCGATTCCAGCCTCAGTCGACTCGTGCACCGGGCAAGGCACCCCAAACTTCTCCTCATACCATAGGTGCACCCGCGCCTGGTTCCTGATCTCCACCCCTTCGCCGGGGATGCCCGCGAACAGCTCGCGCCCGCGGCGAATCACGGCGTCCTCGGCCTCGTAGGAGAGGTCCGAGTCGTCGTGGTAGACGAGGTCGTAGTCTGAGATGCCTGTCGTGGGCGGGAGCGATGAGACGTGGTTCCAGATTGTTTGGGAGACGGCGCCGCCTGCGAGGTACCAGTTTGGGAGGTTTAGGGTGGTGGCGAGGGAGAGGACTTTGACGAGTGTTTCGTTGGTTTCGAGGACTTGACGGACGAGGGTGAGCTGTTCGCCCAGCGGGAGTCTTGCGGGATTTACGGCGGGCATTTTGGTTTTGCGTGTGAGGAAAGGCTCTTGGCGAGGTTTCTGTGTGAGGCTTTTGTTGATGAAATCACTTTTTCGACGCGCTAACGTTGACTCAGGCGCGTTGCGAACGTGTTTATATCGGCGTTGAATGATGAGGATCAATCGCATCACGTCAGAGGTTTTTTTGCGCCTGGCTTACCTAAGGTAAGTTGTGATTATGCCAGGCTTTCTTATTTCACATTGCGAATCGCGATGCGTCATTTTGAAATTCGTCGCTGTAAATTGAGTTTTAGAAGCATTCATTCCCTGCATTCCCAGAACGATTAGCTCTGTCGCAATGAACTGGGGCTTACTTGGAGACGAAGCACCGGAATCTCATAAGCTGAGAGCCCGTCGTATACTACAAGAAATCAACACACCTTAGCTATCGCGATACGCTTCATTTGCTACATAGGCAACTCAGAGACAACGCAATTTGTTGCGCCATCTGTCATGATCTCTTCTTGCATCCTGATGCAAGACCATCAATGGCCCCTCCAGGTCATGATTTCTGATGAAGCATGCGAGCTTTCACATTTCACAGGAATTGTGTCGGCAGCTTGTTGACCCCGCAATTACCCCGCAATCATGAGGGGCATTGTACCTTCAGTCGCAGATTGAGCGGTCATTTTTCAGCTTTGAGAAACATGACATACTGGCCTGTAGCTGACAGCGGCACGTAGAGTGAAGTATCTCATTTGCGCTTCACGAAATTATCGAACATATGTGGAGGCTCGTCTATAGAATCATGTTATCAGCCTCATCGGGCGAATTTGGAAGCGAATATTGCCGCAATGCAGTAGTGGTGTTGAGGGTGTATAGCTTCACCGTGACTTATCAGCTCACACAAGTCCCGTAATGATTGGTAGAACATAATAGAAGTTCTTATCTTGTTAAGACGTCGCATTATGTATTTGCTGCAATTATAGTAATGTAAGTGAACATCTACATGTAGCTGTCCTTAGCCTGCATTGCTGCATAAGGCAAAAATAAATAACAAGCGCTCAACTGCGGCCTTTTCATCTAGCCTGGGCAGATTCAGCTCAGGCACCAACGCAAAATGACAAGCTGGCCATCAGAACATGATAGGTCGGAGAAACAATAATGAAGGGTCGAACCGGCAATGTGCAATTTATGTAAAGCTGACATCAAACTTCATCTTCAAGCCTTTAAGAAGTAGGGCTTCCCCTCGCAAGGCTGCGGAGTGAGCACGTCTGTGATCTTTTGAACACAGCAAAGCTAGACCTCCGGCCCTTCACGCCTGCTCCAACCCTCCGCCGCTCGTACGAAAAAGCGTCTAAATATCTTCACGATGAACATTTTGTTCGGAACCATGAAAGTTTGCTTAAAAGGTATTACTTGTTGCTTCGGTCACAAGCTGCAAACGGAAAACAAAGCGCAGTGGTCAATCTCCTCAGACCAAGATCTAACAGAACACTGATCTCAATAAAGATTCTCGAGAGCACAAGGAGGCAAAGGGTTCGTATAGCATTGCCTGAAAGTGGCGAGCGGAAGTTGACTCTGAACGCTTTCTTAACACCGTCGAAATACGCCCAGATGCCATTGTTGCAGAAGTGGGAACGCCTCTAGACATGGGTGAGCGGAGTGATCGAGAAAGCTCTGTAGGTGGAGACGAACAAGAAGACGACCACATGGCCCTAACCTCGTTGATCTTGAGAATGCCAGAAGCTATCTTGTTTCCAAAGCATCGCTAATGCCAGTCAAAGCTGAGTCTCGAGAATCCCTTCACCTACCTCGCATGGCCGTGGAGAAGCAAACACAAATGCAGAGCCAAAAGAAAACGGAGACAGGGCGAGGGGCGAAGACCAAGTCATGTAGATGGTCTTGTAGCGTTGGCTTTTGGAAAAGCAAACTATCTTCCTGGCTTTACGATACGTGTTATCCACCAAAACCGGGGTATCAAAGAGTTCGGTACATCTGTGTAGGTGGTGCATTTCCATCGTCATATCGCTTCTCGGAGTGAGGAGCCGGAGCTTACGAGGTATTGCAGGAATCTGATGATCACATGTTTTTAGACATCAAAGAGCCCAGATCAGGCGGTTTCCGACGATTTCGGCAACGCTATATTAAAGATGGACAGCCACGCTCATCACCTCCTCCGACTCAACTGCAGTTCAGGACTCAACAGCGGACCAAGATTCTCGGGGCGGCGTTTCTCTTCCCCCTCCTGCTCATTTTCGGTCAGAGAGAAGTCGATCTAGCTCGTCGCGGCAGAGTTCCTGATCGGGTACTTTTTCGTCAAGAACAGGATCATCAACACCGGTGTCCGAAACGTTACGGTCCGAGGAGGTGGCATTCCATCCAGAAGAACAAAACACTCCCCAGTACTTGCTGCTATGCGTCAACCAGAAAAGCCTTCCGGTATTGAAACATATCGACTGCAGCCCTTTCTGGAATGACCAATACCTTTTCCAGCATATCTTGGAAAGATATCAGACAATACGTGAGGAGTCAACCTGGAGAATCTCCCTGCTTTTCCCCCCGTTGGTACGCGCAATACTGGACAAAGGAGTGGTTTTTCTCAGGAAAAATACTCCGAGCTGGCTGGATTGGATGTTCAAAAATTTTCAAAAGTTGTCCGAAGCTAGCCTTTTCAGTATGCACACTGGCGATTACGTTCAGGTATGTTGACGCAACTTCCTTTTCCCGTGGAACACTACGACTAATAGCCCCCCAAAAAGTTTCGACTCGTTCCGATGGGAGAATCGACCAACCCGCAACATTTCAATTGTGGGGAATGTCCTCCTGTCTCCGAAGTATTAGAAGCGGAAAGCTATTCATACAATCCAGTACCGACTGATGTAGCTGTTGATTCCATTCCATCGTGGCATACAACGCTCTCTGGGCATCGACACAGCGACAACTACTGGATCACAACATTTCCAAAACAGCTTCGGGGGCCGCTACATCGCCTACCAGGAGCCCGCGAAAGAGTAATTGGGTAGGGCACACGGATCAATGAACGCTTCAATTGGCACATGGTTTTCTCTCCTCTTCTTGTAATCACCGTAATTATCTGGGCAATTGTGGCCATTTATCTTGCATGCAAGGCTGATGACTCTTCTGGTTTTGGTTTAGGGACTTTGCTCGCAGCACTTGTTGCGCTTTATATGCCTATTCAGTATTTTGCTTGGAAGGAAAAGCTGAAATAGAACTGTTTGCGACCTGCCTTGTATGGCACCGCCTTGCGCTGCCATGACTCTATGGATTAAGGTAGTCAGTTAATTCACTTGTTCCCAGATGACCACGAAACCACTTCTCATGTCAGCATCAATGCAATAGGAATAGTTTTGCGTTCAATGTCCCGAGCAACAAAAGATGTGCAGGGCATAATGCCGACATAGCCTGTACTAGTTCCAAGTGTGTCAAAAGGCCTCGCTTTTACGTAGACGGATCAATCTGGCCCTGGGATCAAAAGTGCTCGTCGGAACGGTATGAAAGGGAACTAGACGTCTTACAAGTGCGGCTATCATAGTTGTGTGGTGGTGCTAGAGATCCAGAATCTCTAACCTCCGAGTATTGCCTTGCCAGAGATCAGGAAAGGCGACCTCTAGGAATCGACCATCATATCATACTATTTCCAATGATGAACGCAGAGATCGAGCGTCTTTTCACCTAAGAAAGCGGTACATTTCGTTCACCACGATTAAGCTAACGTGATATATTATACTAGCCCTGGCAGATTTGACCATCACTGGCCTTCAGCCACAGTTGTCAGACTCATCATCATTGCTTTGTTATTACTCAAATAGGGTATTATGCTTTTACTAAGATTTGTGGTCGTCATGTCGGATACATCAAATTCACGAGTCCTTCTGCTCATCGACAATGAGGAAGCTCTGTGGCACCACCCTCTCATTGTCATGCGAAGCCTCCCTCGTCGACCTTCCTCCACAAGTCAATTCTTCCTCACTCCCATTTTCACTGACACTCTTAATGTGCGACAAGGCCTCAACATCACCTTTGCTTGCTCCTGCTGAGAAGCCCATACTCGACCTCCTCTTCCCAGAAGTCGCCTCACTCTGCCTCTTTTGACACTTGAAGGTGCCGCAGCATTTGCAAGGAAAGTATGACATGCTGTAGATATCTTCGTGCCCGGACTGCGGCGGACCGTTGCTGGACTTGGCAAAGGTTGTGGCTGCGAAGGCCGATGGTCGGCGAGTAGCGTCGTCGGTAATGCGGTGGGGGGATGGGTCTGAGGTCATGCCTAACTTGTAGCCGATGGCCTTGAGAAGGGGTCGAAGCGTTGCGAGGCTGCCGGCGGTGATTGCTAGGCCTTGTTCTACGGATGACCAGATAGCGATGTCGAGGGTGGACCCTTTATTGAAGTTAGTTGACTTGTCCCTGGAAATAGACTACTTGAAACGGTGGACTTACAGAGGAAATCGGCGTCCTTGAGGCCCATGAGATATCCAAAGCGAACCAAGACAGCTGAGCTGGCACTAATAGGATGGTCAGCTTCGTTCATGTTACCAATAAGGTTTGATTGTACTCACACGCAACCCATGATCAATAACGGGATCAAAGCAAACTTCGTCTTCTTTCGCAGTTGGAGGTTCCAAACCAAAAAGGCTGGGAGAATGGCGAATGTCAAGTCCGATATGACACTGAAGGCACTGTACAAGTATGCCAATGCAATAACAATGTTGACATCGATGCAGCTTCCTGGCTGACTCTTGTTCCAGAAGAACGAGATGGGGTGGCACTGAAACAGCGTCACGAAGAAGAATACGACTCCGGCTAGGACAGTGAACATCATAGCCACGTAGATGATCCAGCTGTGTAATCTGCGGGTAGTAATTCGCAAGAGAAAGAATCCGATGGACATTTTCGAGACGATCATGCTGAGGGAGTAAAAGAGGTAGCAGAACCACCAGCACTACAAGGTTGTGTTAGTACACTTGTTACCAATGGAAATCGTATCGTCTTAGAGTAGTTGCTGACCTCGAGCGCTTTGGTGATATGGTCATCTTCGATATCCGCGAAATGCCTTCCGGTGCCATAGTGAACACCTAGTATCGAGAAGTTTGAGTAGCATATGAAGAAGGCCTTTGATGGAGTTAGTCATATCTTCCTGTCTGTATACACAGTCATCATGCAAATCGAGTAATGCATACCAGAGCCAAGACCATGAGCCAGTCATCCGTTCCGAAAGCCTTGACCAGGCCAGCCCGGACGTAGCATCGCAATGCAGTGGCCAACACCGCCGCCGAGACGAAGAAGATGTTGACGGCCAGGAGCTCGGGTCCACGGTTCTCGACCATGGGTGCCATGTTGACTCGTAGATCTCACGGTTCGATGTCTACCAGGGGTCCTTTCTTTGGAGCAGGCCCTCCCAGTTCCCACTTGAAGAGATGCAAGGTTTATGGGGATCGTGGGGAGGGAGGGGGAAGGCAAGCAAAGGTCGTACGATTCTTTATAATTCCCCATCCTTAAACAAGTACGAAAATGAAAAGAAGGATACGGGCCGCAGAATTCACAAGACACCGTCGTTACCGTGCACCGGGCGCTACCGCCAGGGGTAGATGGGTCTTGTTGTGTCGCGTTTCCATCTTCAGAGCTCAATCCGAAGCCTTCAGTCGACGGCGTCGGGTCGTGCGTCCGGACAGCTCGGCATGCGCCGTTCGTCCCTCATTGAAGACTCAAAAGAAGTGAAAGTATCTGTCTTGACCCCACCGGAGCTCTCCTAGCTTCAAAGGACATTTGATTTTGGGGATCATTTGCGATGAGGTAAGGCAACACAAATGAGCAGCCAGCTCCGCGCCTCTGGATAGCTTTGCCTTGAAGAAAACGTCCAGATCCGGCGACGGACTCGGGACGGCGGCGGGAGGAATGCCTCATCCGCGTTAAGTCAAGCTCTAGAGCGTCTGGCACCAGTCCTTCTTAGGACACGGGCTCCGGTGAACAGACGAGGAAGCTGACCAGTGGAATAACTGTGGCTTGCTTTCTCGAAGGAGCGCTAGAACAGATCTATCAGCGTTCCGACACGCCACGTCGGAAATGGTGGCCGTGCAAAACATCTCGCGTACGTCTAGCTTGTCGTCTAGCGGCTTTTTACTTGCTGTTTCGCTACTGCCGATCGAACCAGTGGCTAAGCCTCTGAGGACAATCCTTGAAACAAACTGAGTTGCCCTCTGGCTTGAGTGGCATGAGTAATTCCATTAGGTCAGCGGCAGCAAACCTGACTTTGTTAAAAGGATGGTTTTTGCTGTCGGGATACCTCCGACCCATACCCCCTTGGCGAGGGAGATCGGCCCGGGGATGTGTGCCAGGTTATGACCCGGAAGTGCCGTGATGCAACACAGTCATGGCCTCTCAGACCCCTCTTTGCACATGTTAATCGAATGCCCAGTCGCATCAAGATGCCAAACGACAATATCCGTCACTTGTCAGATTGAAAGTTCGGTAGCTACAACTCTAATGCCATACACGAGGCACTACTGCGAGACACAAAACAGTGTGGCTATGAACAGGAACACGACGGCTTAAATCAACAGCCCAGGGGAACTGAGACAACCTTCACGTCCTTTTCTAGGGCGCCACAAGTGCAAACTTCTCCAGCATTTCAACGCCAGCCTCCTCTTTGACATTGGCAGCTACACACCCTAATTCAGGACGTTGTGAGCATATTTGTCCAGCGATTTTGCTTTCCTGTTCCGGCTTTGATTCAACATGTGAGACATTTACCTCAGACTCCTTATTATTGTTCTTGAAGGAAATCATAGGCTCGAAGGATCAAGTCAAAGGGCTGAATGGTCAATGGCACACTCGCTAGAGCGTCTTGGCTTCCGGCCGGTTCCTCGCTGCGGTATCCTCCCGACATGGGTTCGTCGGCAGATTCTTTGCCGTGCGCACAAGCCAGGAAACAAGACATCCAGACGGCTCTTGGGTGAGACCTGTGGATCTCCTGCTACCAGGATCCAGGTACACGGATGACGGACGGATGACGGGGCTGGTAATAGTTTGTTTGCAGGATGGGTCTGGAAGGGGTCCGGAAATGACCCCTTATGTGACAGACTGTGGACCAGATTTACATGCACGGTTGAATGGACAATCCAAGCGTCGTCTCCAGCATCTCACGGTTCTCATCCTGTCGCCTTGTTCAATCGGGAAGAGCAGGGACGATGTTGGGTGTCCCGTGGAAGCCCAGACAATGTGGAGGAAGGCCTGGTGAACTTTACACCTGCATGCAGCGGGAACTGCTGTTTCTTGGCAGGCTAGCACGCTCTAAGGATCTGCCGTTCCCTACAAACACGTAGCGGGGTTGAAACATTGGGATAGACGTCAATAGACGACAGAACTACCATGGCTATATGCGACAGGGCTATCACTAAGAGCTGTTGAGTTGATCGAAGTACGGCCTCTCCGCTTGCGGCGTGATCCTCAACATATGCCGCCTAGTTGTCCCCTCTTCGACCCTGAAGTCTCGCAGCGCAGAGTGCTGAGTGTTCCTGTTGTCGTAGACCACCACCGTGCCCGGCCTCCAATGAACCCGCAAGTGCCAGTCCTGACCTCTTTCGATATGGTCAAACAAGAATCCTAGTAAGGCGGCACTCTCTTCCTGCTTCATACCGACAATTCGTTTTGTGTACAGCCGATTGACGTAGAGAGAAAACTGCTTAGTGGCGGGATGGGTTCTCACGACTGGATGGATGGTTTCAATGGGTTCTCGGATGTATCGGTCGCGGTAGTCGTTCACCGAAGCTTGAGAGAAGCCGGAGTGAACAGCCTTCAAGCTGTGAAGCAACGTACGGCAAGTTTCTGAGAGAGCGTAGTAGGCTGCTGTGGTGGAGAGGTAAAGAGTATCCCCTCCAGATGCCGGAGTGCTCAGAGGCAAGAACGTTGTCGTACCCATCCCGTTGCTATATGCTGTCAGGTTCCAATTCGATGACGTGTGTTCATTGGCAACGGACTTACATCTCATAGCTCATGTCGCTGTGCCACTTCACGCTGGTGACATTGTCTTTGATCTCGTTATCTACAGCACCTGCTCTGCGTTGTCTGTCAATCGTCCATGTCTGCTTTCGTCGTCGCGATGGACTTACGTGAAGTCGCGGTACACAGGGAGTAGTTCTGGGTAGTCCTTGATCTGACCGCCCATCTGATGGACATGCAGTGAACCGAAATGTCTTCCGTAGGCTTTCTGCTTTTCGGGTCCAATGTCTGCGAAATCTTGGTCTCGGAAAATCACCACGCCACGCTCAGCTGCGAAGAGTGCCAGTTCATCAAGCTGGGCAGAGCTCAGTTGACTAAGTTGGATTCCACAGATTTCAGTACCGACCGCTGGGGTAACCTCTTCATAGCTGACCCCAGTTGCCCCTAGAAGATTCTTCTTGGTCGGATCGGCCCTCAAACCGACATCGTCATGGTGGAACTCTTCCAATGGAGGCTGAGTTCCGGGTACGAAATGTGGCAGGTAGCTTTCATATTTATACTAGAAGCATTCAGAATTTGCCCATTAATATTTCATGATGGTTCATACCTACGCTCTCCTTGTCGTAGTTGATAGACGTTTCCGCCCGAAGCTGAAACGTTCGGGGCTCTTCTGTGACCTTCGTGCTTACTTCTGTCGCCATTGTGGTGGAGTTTATTGGTAATTTGGTAGAAAACGCATTCTAAATGCCTTGATTACACCAGAGTTGTCCAGTCTGATATAGAAATGGCCGGATTCTTATTTCCGTGTTGGAGTTTGTACATGCTAGCACGCGATCTTGTTGTCCTTGTTGCGACATCATCCTTGGAAATTCGTCATGACATCTGTGCCCTCACATTGGTTGAAGGCACCGTATCATGTCTACATCTTATCTCTCGTGGCAATGCTGCCGACATCAGTATCATCAAATTTCCCTGCAAAGTATTCGGGCATACGGCAGTTCTCCTCTTTTCTGATTGCGAGATCCAAATGCATTGATTATTGCCGAAGACCCTGGGAAGCATGCACTTGCCGGCATACTTCATGCCTTTTGTATGGCTTGCATCGGACAGTTTCCGAAATTCTTGCCGCACTGAAGACATGGGATGCCTCAGAAGAGGATAGAGGATCATCATAATCAAAAACAATGGCGTGCTTTAAGTAGGAACGGGGTACGCTATAAGGATTGCACATGGCGAGGGATGAAGATTGCCTTCACACTTCAGTCAGCTTAGCAATTTGCTCGCTTACCATTAAGAAACATGACCAGTGACGGCAGAAAGCAAGATTTTGAGGTGTCTACAGACCCTGAGGCCCAACTCGCATCTAGCAAGGTTGGTAGATGGAGGGTTCTCTCAAACGTCTCACGAAAGGTCTGGGGTGATGACCCACGAGAGCGTAAATATGTTCGGAAGTTGGACACCTTCCTCTTGTGAGTCGGGCTCTTATTGACTTGATTTTGTTGCAACTGACCTTGAAAACAGCTCTTACGTACTTCTCGGGTATTTCATCAAGTACCTCGATCAGAATAACTACAGCAATGCGTTCGTCAGCGGCATGCAAGAAGAGCTTGATCTTTATGGCAATGAGAGAAACCTCCTAAACACATACTTTAACATTGGTATCATTTTGGGTACTATCCCAGCCCAGATGATCCAGTTAAAATATGTACGTCCGTCGATTTGGATACCGGCGTGTGAACTCGGGTGGTCTGCCTTGACAATGATCATGGCGAGTGCCAAGAATGTGGAGACGGTATGTTCAGTCTCTGTCGCTCGCAAAGACTAGAAAGTAGAACATTCCTGACCAAGAATCGTTAGCTTTACGCTTTGCGATTTTTCATAGGACTTCTCGAGTCATGTTCCTTCCCAGGTTTCGCTAGCATACTGGGTAGTTGGTACGGCAAGTCTCAACTCGCCAAGCGTATGGCTTTGTTTGAGCAGACAGCTGCGATTGCTGGTATGTTCAGTGGATACCTCCAGGCAGGGCTTTACACTGGCATGAATGGGACAGCTGGGCTGTCTGGCTGGAGGTGGCTCTTCATCATGGATGGTCAGTCATCGGCACAACTCCGAGGCAATGTGGAGCTGGTGTTGATCATTCATAGGAGTCATCTCGATACCGATCGCTTTGTATGGATTCTTTGCGCTTCCTGACTTACCACACAACACCAGGGCTTTCTACCTCCAAAAAGAAGTAAGGGGCCATCTCCTGTATGAAGTTAGTGGAGATCGACGTATAATGCAGGCTGACCATGATCAACAGGACCGTGAATATGGCATGGAGCGCATCAAAGCTATGGGTCGCAAACCACCATCGAAGCTAACTCTGAAGGCCATTAAGGAGATATACACTTCATGG